GTGTTCTGGGGCAGCTGACTGGTGGTGTTGCCCACGACTTTAACAACTTGTTAACGGTTGTGACGGGTGCGGCTGAACTGCTGAAAGAGTCGCTGGGTGAGCGCAGCGAGGACAGGCAGTTAATCGACCATATAATGACGGCAGCAGATTCTGGTGCCGACATTACCCGGGCTTTGATGGCTTATGCACGCAAACAGCCGTTGCAGCTTGAGACCGTGAAGTTGAACAACATTATCCGTCAGCGCATGCCGCTGATTGCACGCACCCTGGGCGGAATGGTGAAGCTAAAACTCGATATAGAAGATTGTCCTGACGTGCAGGTTGTGCTGGACCAGTCGCAACTGACCAGCGCGATGCTGAATCTTGCCCTGAACGCTCGCGATGCGCAGAATAACCAGGGGGAAATAAAGATATCGTTAGATATTCGTGATGGTCGTTGGGCAGTGATTGCGGTTGCCGATGTTGGTTGTGGTATGACGCCGGAACAGATTGACAGGGCGGTTGAGCCTTTTTACACCACCAAACAGGACGCTCATGGCACAGGTCTGGGCTTGAGTATGGTTTATGGTTTCAGCAAACAGATTGGTGGTGATCTTGAAATTGAGTCGGTGCCGGATGTGGGTACAACCGTGCGCTTGATACTGCCGCTGGCTCACCTGGCGGATGCGCGTGTTTATGAAGTCAATTTCGGCCAGAAACCAGCATGACGGCACCAAACTCACAAAAGCATGCCATTGATATCCGTCCTATCGTTTATCCGGATGATATGCCTGCCATCCGTAGAATCTGGAGAGAAGTGGGGTGGGTCGATGAAAGCGACGAGAAGCATGTCGACGACTTCTTCTCCGTAGGCAGGACTCTGCTGGCAACCATAGATGGTGATCCCGAGTGCAGTGTGCACACCGTACAGGGTTTGTTATCACTGCAGGATAGGGCGCTGCCGCTATGTGCGGTCACGGCGGTGACAACCAGTCGTATTGGTCGCGGCCACGCATTTGCTAAACGACTGACGGCACTGCAACTGCAGCAGGCGCATGCGGATGGCGCTCAGGTGGCTGCGCTGGGTATGTTTGATCAGGGTTTTTACGATCAGCTGGGGTTTGGTAGTGGAGGCTATGACCACCAGATTAAATTTGATCCTGCTACGCTCAAAGTCAATCATCGTGTGCCTACGCCTCGCAGGATCGGCGTTGATGACTATAAAGCGGTACACCAGGCCATGTGTAACCGACACAAAGTGAATGGCTCGGTGGTCCTGTTTGACGACGTTCTGATAAAAAACGAACTTAACTGGACAGAAGGTGGATTTGGGTTGGGTTATGGTGAAGGGGATACGCTGACGCACTTTATCTGGCTCAGCGGCAAAGGCGAGCATGGCCCGTATACTGTCACGACCATGGCTTATCAGAATACAGACCAGCTGTTAGAGCTGCTGGGGCTACTCAAGTCCCTTGCAGATCAGGTTTATACGGTGAAAATGCTGCAACCCCCGCATATTCAACTGCAGGATCTGCTCGAAAGACCCTTTCGTACCCGTAGTACAACAGCGGGTGGCACACACGCCAACGAACAATACAGTTTTGCCTGGTGGCAGTTACGCATTCTTGACGTTGCTGCCTGTGTGGCGGCATTCGAAGCAATACAGCCCGTTAAGTTTCAGTTGGAGATAACCGATCCAGCAACATCTTTATTAAAAGACACCGATGGCTGGCAGGGCAATTCAGGTAGTTATGTGGTGGAACTCGGCGAACAATCAAAGGCGTCGCTCGGACAGGATGCAGACCTACCTGTAGTGCACTGTTCTATCAATGCGTTCACACGACTGTTATGGGGTGTCGCTAAAGCGACCTCGTTAGCGGTTACAGATGAATTCAGGGCGCCCAGGGCGTTGCTGGAAACGCTTGATCGGGCAGCTGTGCTGCCTACGCCACACACCGGTTGGGATTTTTAGCTCAGGTGTCTGTTTGACCAGTTCAACAATGGATGACCTGCTCAGTATTGGCTGGAAACCCTTTTTCCAGCAGCAGATGCTACAGCTGGATGATCACCTGCAACCCGCTCGTGTGATTGCTGTGCAACGCACCGGCTTGACGGTTGCGCCTGCAGTGGGTCAGCATAAATTCATCAGCGTTTCCGGACGATTTTTTATTCAGGATCCGGTGCTGCGGCCAACGGTGGGCGATTGGGTAGCAATAAATACCGAAACCGGCAGCCTCGAAGCCCTGCTTGAGCGCCTCAGTCTGATCAAGCGTCTCAGTCCCGGCACAACCGGTGAGGTGCAGCTGATCGCCGCGAATATCGATACTGCATTTCTGGTGACATCCTGTAATGCGGATTTTAACCTGGCTCGACTGGAGCGCTATCTGTCCGTGGTCATGGAGGCCGAGATACAGCCGGTTATTGTGTTAACCAAAACAGATATGGCGCAAGCGCCGGAAAGTTATATCGATGAGGCGCGCAAGCTGGGGTCCCATCTTGCCATCGAGGCGGTCAATGCATTAGACGCAGACAGTCTGCAGGGCTTGATCGGATGGTGCGGGCCAGGTCAGTCAATTGCGCTGTTGGGTTCTTCAGGCGTGGGTAAGTCAACGTTGGTGAATACGCTTGCAGGCGCTGAAGTTCAGGTCACCAGAGCTGCCAGAGAAGAGGATGACAAAGGTCGTCACACCACTACTCACCGATCGTTACACAAGTTACCCAGCGGCGGCGTCATTCTCGACAGCCCGGGAATGCGGGAATTCCAGCTGGCTGATGCTGAGCAGGGCCTCGGCTCTCTGTTCGCAGACATAGAAACCCTGAGTGAGCGTTGCAAGTTCAACGATTGTAAACATGACGCGGAACCTGGTTGCGCAGTACAGCAGGCCATTGCGGATGGCGACCTGGAGCAGCGGCGCCTGGACAGCTATTTTAAGTTGCAGAGAGAAGACCAGTTCAACCGTGAAACCCTGGCTGAACGGCGTGCACGTTATCGCCAGTTTGCCAAGACGGTGAAGCATGCAACGCAGCAGGCGGATAAGAAGCGCCGCTAGCAAACCTCACCTCTTCTGCGACTCGACAGGCGCGCGCAAACCTCATACAGTCGCCGCCTGTGCATAATAATTTTGAAAAGACCGTGGCCAATCTGAAAGCTCCTGAACTGGTTTTACAACCCGTTTCCGTTACTCGGAAAATGTCGGCATCACTGCCACGCCTGCGAGAAATTGCGCAGCGTAAAGGCTTGAAGATTCATCATCTTGGTGCGGGATACCCTCACCCCGAAGTGACAGATCCCCGCGGTTTTCTTGAGCATCAGAAGGCCTATTTTGCCCACCTGCAGCAGGCTGAGGGCCTGAACGATGCGCAAGCGCTGCCGGAGTATCTGCGTGAATCGTTTTCTTATGGCGATACCCTGGGGCCGCGCTCCACAAGAGAAGTGTTTGCCCAGGTTTATGGTGCTGACTGGGATGTTGAAATTGATATCAGCAAGCTGATTCCGACGGTAGGTGCAACCGGCGGGATAAACCTGATGTGCAGCCTGGCCGAAAGGCCGGGTACACCCGTTGCCTATATTACAGATGCGCCAACCTATGCCGGCTTTACCGCTCGTGTGTCTCTTTGTCACCACGCGCGTATTTTCAGTGTGGATATGGATGAGGAGGGAGCGTTACCTGATCAGTTTCGTGCGCAGATCCACGCTGCACGCGAGCAGGGCTATTTTGTACCGTTCTATTACACGGTTCCTGACGGCCATAATCCAGCAGGCTTTTCTTTTTCTCAGGCGCGCAGGGAAGCCCTGCTTGAAATCGCGCGGGAGGAAGGCATTCTGATTGTCGAAGACGCACCTTATCTTTATATAAACTTTGCGCCGTCGTCTGCGCGCCCGAAGCCATTTTTTGCCCTGGCGCCAGAGCAGACAGTACACCTGTTCACCGGTTCCAAAATTGGCTTCCCGGGCCCCAGAGTAGGGTTCTTATATAGTGAGGCAACCCTGGCAATCGCTGACGGCAAGACAGTTGATCTGGCTGAAATGGCGTTAACCGAAGCCAGCTCTGACATCCTTTTTCAGAATCCATCTGCCCTGCGTGGATTTGAAGCATTGTTGCACGATGCGCAATTCAATCCCATCAGCAGTATGTGGTTGCTGGCGGAAGAGAAGTTGGGCGTCTACCGTGAAAATCGGGAAATTCTGCTGTCTATTCTGGCTGAAAAATTAGGCCAGTATCCTGAATACTTTTCCTGGACTCAGCCCGAAGCCGGGTTCTTCTCTGTGTTCACGTTCAAAAAATCTTCGATCAGAACCGATGACAGTTTTATTGAGTCGCTGGTGGCTGAATATGGTGTGGTTGCGATCCCAATGTATGATTTCTATCCGGCTGATGCAAAAGTGCGTGACCCTCATGCCGGAATGAATCAATTACGTTTGAGCTTCTGTTTCAGCGAAAGCAAAGGTGAGGCCAGGCGCAATGATATGCGTGAAGCGGTTTCTGCATTCTGTGATGCAGCGTTGACGCTGGCCGGGCTTCAATCCTCGCCAGGTTAATCTTTTTTACGCTGGGCGCTGATGCGCTCGGTGTTGAAACCCAGCCAGTGCATACGCCCCTGATAGCGGGCATGTTCGATCTTTATGCATTTATCAACAATGCATTGAAGGCCACCTTCCTGGGCTATAGCAATGCCTTCAGCGCTGACCACGCCAAATTGCAGCCACAAAAATTTAGCCCCTATTTCAACAGCTGCTCGGGCAATGTCCGGCACCGCGCTGCTGTCTCTGAATACGTCCACCACATCAATCGGGGTGGGGACATCCTGCAGGGTCGGATAGCTTTTAAGGCCATAGATTTCATCTTCACGCGGGTTGACCGGGGTTACCTGGTAGCCGTTACGATGCATGTAATAGCCCACAAAGTTGCTCGCGCGCAGTTCATTGGATGACATGCCAACAACGGCGATCTGCTGACACTGCAGGGCCGCCATTATGGTTTCAGGCTGCTGCCAGGAGGATAAATCTGTGATGTCGACACTCATGCTTTGATCTCCGTCAGTTGTGCCAGTGCGTAATCAATATCAGCAATCAGATCCTGCGCGTCTTCAATGCCAATGGATACGCGAATAGTCCCCGGGCCGATGCCGCTGGCCGCAAGTTCTGTATCGTTCAGTTGCCGATGGGTGGTGGTGGCAGGGTGGATAACCAGGCTTTTGGCATCACCTACGTTTGCCAGGTGGCTGAACAGTGATAAATTTTCGATAAATTTAATGCCTGCCTGTCTGCCACCGGCAAGATCAAAACAAAACACCGCACCGGGTCCTTCGGGTAAATATTTTGCAACCAGATCAGCGTATCTGGAACCGTCAAGACCTGCGTAATGTACCGCCGTCACGGCATCACACTGCTGCAGATGGGCGGCAACAGCTTTGGCATTGCTGACATGCTGGCGCATACGCAGAGGCAAAGTCTCTATACCCTGGGCGAGCATAAATGCGTTAAACGGGCTCATGCACGCGCCCAGGTCCCTTAGCGTTTCGGAGCGCAGCTTCATCAGATAGCCGAACGTGCCAAACGTCTCATGGAATTTAAGGCCGTGATAGGCTGGCGACGGTTCTGCGATCACCGGGAAGCGGCCGTTAGACCAATCAAATTCTCCGGATTCTACAACTACGCCGCCAATTGATGTGCCGTGTCCACCCATGAATTTGGTGGCGGAATGTACAACAATATCTGCACCAAATTTCAGAGGTTGGCACAGGTAGGGTGTGGCAAAGGTGTTGTCGATCATCAGCGGCACACCGGCAGCATGCGCAATTTCGGCGATGGCCTCGATGTCGAAGATGCAGCCGGATGGGTTGCCTATGGTTTCGCCGAAACACAATTTTGTGTTCGATTTGATGCCTTTCTGCCAGGCTTGAAGATCGTCAGGGTCAACAAAATCCAGCTCGACGCTCATCTTGCGGAGCACATGTTTGAACTGGGTGACGCTGCCACCATAAAGAGCCGCGGAGGCCAGCACATGGTCACCAGGCTCTAACAAAGTGAATAACGCGGCATTCTGTGCGGCCAGACCGCTGGCAAATGCCACGCCTCCAACACCCCCCTCAAGATTCGCAACACGTTCTTCGAAAGCGGCGACGGTAGGGTTCATGATGCGACTGTAGGTGTTACCGTACTCCTGCAGGTTGAAGTAGGCCGCTGCAGATTCCGCATCTTCAAACACGTAACTGGTGGTTTGATGGATCGGCATGGCCCTGGATCCGGTTTGTGGATCAGGGCGAGCCCCTGCATGCACCGCCCGGGTATGAAAGCCGGTAAATGTGGGTGGCACCGCCATGTGGGAGTTCCTTAAGTCTTGTGTTCAAATCGCTTTTACCCTAGCCGCCTTCGCCCCTGCAGGCAACAGATACACGTCCATCTGAATCGCAAATAGGCTGGACGAGTCGGCCTGAGCAATGGGACCATGACGATATGGATAACCGTATTAAAGTAGTTGTTGCCCTGGTGTTGATCGGGGTTTCATTCTGGCTCTATCAATACCTCGGTACCGCGACAATTGCGGTGAGCAGCGAACCTGCCGGCGCGCAGGTAAAAGTAGATGGGCGGGTGCGGGGTATAACACCCATTTCGCGGTTAGAGCTGGACAGCGGCAGCCATAAACTGGAAGTTGCACACAGTTTTTATCAGACCCACGTAGAAGGTCTGTCTTTGCGTCGTGGTGATCACCTTGTTAAGCATCTGGTGCTGGACGTCGGCGAAGGCACACTTTCACTGCTGTCGAATCCGCGCGGTGCCTGGGTGGAGGTGGATGGCGTGAGGCTGCGGGATAGAACGCCAACCACGCTGCAGACCAGCGCAGGTGAACACACCATTGTCATGGGTCAGGCCGAGCGGCGCGCCGTTGCCCAGGTGCACACGTTAAAAGCGCAGCAGACTCTGGAAGTGAACTTCAACCTGAACATAGATCCTCACGGCAGTTTGACCATGGTGACGCGGCCATCAAACGCTGCTGTTGAATTTGTGGATAAAGACCTGGTGTATGCGCCGCAGATGCGACTGCCCATAGGTGAATACACGGTGCGTGTCAGCCGACCCGGCTATGAGACGCAGACTTTTCGTTACACCGTACAGTATGGAGATAATCGGCACGAGGTGACGCTGGCCAGGGCGTATGGGCGCCTGGTTGTGACAACATCACCGGCAGAGGCAGATGTGCAGGTCAGCTACGATGAGGGAGGCCGTACGCAACGTAAACCCTACCAGAGCGATATGCAGGTGCCTTTAGGCGCGGTGGAATTACGTGCCCGTGCCATTGGCTATCGAACCGCTCTGCGTAAGCTCAACCTTACCGGCGAAGGTGCTACCGTGCGTTTCAATCTTGAAGCCATGCAGGTGCAGGCCGGCCGTGTGTTCTCCGACGCTCTGGCTGTGGGTGGTCAGGGTCCGGAGCTGGTGGTGATTCCTGCTGGCCGCTTTGTAATGGGCAACGCCAGTGGTCCACCCTCTGAGCAACCTGCACACACGGTGGTTTTGCCGCAACCGTTTGCGGTGTCGAGATATGAAGTCACCATCGGTGATTATCTGAAGTACCTGCAGGATCGGGGGTTGGATCTGCATGAACGCCTGAACGCCGCGGACGTCACCCATGCGTTGGCCTATGTCAGTCACGCTGATGCCACAAAATACGCACAATGGCTGAGTGAACAAACCGGACAGACGTATCGCCTGCCATCGGAAGCGCAATGGGAATATGTTGCCCGTGCGGGTAGCCAGGAGACCTATTTCTTCGGACAGGATCCGGAGCAGCTGTGTACCTACGCAAATGTCGCTGATCGTGCCACCCGGCAGGTGTATCGCCAGTGGGAAACGCTGGCCTGTGACGACCAGATGGTTCGTCCTGGCCCCGTCGGCACTTATCAACCCAACGCCTTTGGCGTTTATGACATATACGGAAACGTTGCCGAATGGGTTGCAGACTGCGGCATGCCTGGGTATACCTTAGTGTCCGACGACGGTTCAGTTGCAAATACCGACGGCAGTTGTTCTAGCCATGGCGTGCGAGGTGGATCCTGGGATTCACAAGCCCTTGAAGCCAGTTCGTCGTATCGTTTTTCCGCCAGCAGTGCCAACGACGATCGAGGCATCCGCCTGCTGCGGGTGTTGTGAACAGCTGGGATAGTTCTCAGGCAAAAGGAGAAAAGAATGAGTGAATTAGAAGAATTTAGAGCAGACAGTCGAGCCTGGTTAGAGGCCAACTGCCCAGCGTCGATCCGTTCAAATATGCCCGCTGATGAATACCCAGGCGGTGGTCGTCGTGCTCGATATAAAAACCCCGATACCAAATTGTGGCTGGAACGCTGTGCAGAGCAGGGTTACACCGTACCGGCCTGGCCCAAGGCTGTGGGTGGCGCGGGTTTAAACAAGGACCAGGTTGTGGTCTGGCAGGAAGAAATGCGGCGCATCAATGCGCGCCCGCCTCTGGTTGGCATGGGCATCAGTATGATTGGCCCGGCGTTGTTGGAATATGGCACCGAAGCTCAGCAGCAGGAACACCTGCCGAAAATTGCCAGCGGTTCAATCTGGTGGTGTCAGGGCTACAGTGAGCCAGGATCAGGCTCAGATCTCGCCAGCCTGCGCACCTCGGCGGTGGAAGACGGCGACGATTACATCATCAACGGCCAGAAGATCTGGACCTCTGGCGCGGACAATGCCGACTGGATGTTCTGTCTGGTGCGTACCGACCCTGATGCGCCTAAACACGAAGGCATCAGTTTCATTCTGTTTGATATGACCACGCCGGGTATCACGGTGAAACCCATCAAACTGATCAGTGGTCTGTCACCGTTCTGCGAAACTTTTCTGGATAACGTGCGGGTACCAAAGTCCAACCTCGTGCACGAACTGAACAAAGGCTGGACCGTGGGCAAGCGACTGCTGCAGTACGAACGTGCCTCGATCGGTGGCATTGGCGGTGGTCAGAAGGTCCGCTCCATTGAAGACTATGCCAGTGAATATGTTGGTCTTGATGCGTCCGGCAGGATTGCCGACCCAGTCCTGCGTGGCAGCATCCTCAAGCACCGCATGAATGACCGGGCATTTGCTTTAACAACCAAACGCAGCATGCAGGAGTCTGCCACCGGCAAAGCACCCGGCGCGGTCTCGTCCATGTTCAAGTATTACGGTACCGAGCAGAATATAGGCAAATACGAATTGCTGCTGTCGGCGCTGGGTACCCAGGCAATGGGTTGGGCGGGTGACGATTTCACAGAAGATGAACTGACCACAACCCGGGCCTGGTTGCGATCCAAAGCTAACTCAATTGAGGGTGGCACATCGGAAGTGCAGCTGAATATTATTGCTAAACGGGTGCTGGGTTTGCCGGACTAACAGATTTCTTTAAGGTACAGGGGAGAGGGGAGATGATGAGAATCTTAATGGCAGCGATGCTGCTTGTTTGGGGTGCAGCGGTTTTTGCTCACGATGAAGTAGCCGAGCGTGGCGATGGCCCCATGAATCTTGACGAGCTGATGGCGGCTTTCGGTTGGGACTTTGAAGCGGCACAGATCCGCACGGAAAAAGTTGCTGACGGTCTTTATGTTCTGTTTGGTGTCGGTGGCAATATCGGCGTCAGTATCGGCGCACAGGGTGTGCTGCTGGTAGACGATCAGTTTCCTCAGATGATGCCAAAAATCAGCGAAGCCATTCGTGAAATTGGCGGCGGCGGGGTAGATTTTGCGATCAATACTCACTGGCACTTCGACCACGCTGAAGGCAATCTGGCGCTGGGGCCTGGTGGCACGTGGCTGGTGAGTCAGGCCAATTCCCGCGAGATGATGCTCGATGATCACGTCATCAACCTGGTTGCCGTGCAGTACGAACAGAAGGCTTATCCTAAAGCTGCCCTGCCGGTGATCACCTATGACGACACCATGCAGTTCCACTTCAATGATCAGGAAATTGAGCTGCTGCACTTCGGCCCCGCTCATACCACAGGTGATACGGCGATCATTTTCCGGGGCAGCAACGCGGTGCATCTGGGTGATGTGTTTAATCGCTCCGGTTACCCTTTCATTGATGCCGATAATGGCGGCGACCTGCGCGGTATGATTAATTTCTGCCAGTCTGTGCTGGACGCAATTGATGAAAACACCATTGTTATTCCCGGTCACGGTGAAGTGTCGGACTATGCCGGTTTGCGCAGCTATATTGCGATGTTAGAAGATATGCACCAGAGTATTGGCAGTATGGTCAAGGCGGGTAAAAGCCTTGCTGAAGTTATTGCTGCTGCGCCGACAAAAGCTTATGACGATGTTTTTGGCGATTCATCCAACTTTGTCGATCGAGCTTATGCGAGTTTGAGTCGGGAACAGGCGGCTAACTAGCTAGAAGGTCAGTGCCCAGCCTACCAGCAGTGGTAGGCTCAACACGCTCATCACCGTACTCTGCAGAATAACGGCGGCCACCTTGTCCGGCTCGCGATTGTAGCGCTCTGCAAATACGTAGTTGAACACCGCCGCCGGCATGGTGGCCTGCAGCAGCACAACACCGGCCAGCATACCGGTCAGATCAAACAGGTAAATCGCGGCCAACCCCAGCACAAGTCCAATTGCCAGACGCATCACCGCAACGGTCAGCGTCTCGCGTACTGAAGATATATTCAAACGGGCCAGCGACGTGCCCAGCATCAACAGCATGGCAGGGATGGTCAATCCACCAAGAATGCTGGTGGTGGCGTTAAACCAGCGTGGCATGGTTGTTTCTGTGGCCAGTACAGTAACAACCACCAACACGGCCCAGATAACCGGTTGTTTCAGCAGCTGGGTTGGATGGAACTCCCCGGAAGATACGGCCAGCCCAAGGGTGTACTGAGAAATGGAGTTGACAAAAAAGTACGCCATGCCCAGTGCAAGACCGGTTTCACCAAAAGCCAGCAGCACCACGGGCAAACCCATGTTGCCGCCATTCGGGTGTACCAGTGCGGGCAGATATGTGCGGAAAGGCCAGCCGGTTATTTTCAGGAAAATCAGTGCCAGGCCGACACTGCAGACAATCACAAACAAGGCTGCCAGCGCCATTTGCGCAAGCACCTCAAGTCCGGGTGCATTGGTTGTCAGAGATGAATAAATCAGACACGGGCTGCCGACATACATGACAAGCGAGCTAACAGTAAGGTTGTCAAACGGCTGTTCGCGTTTGATCCAGATGTAACCTACGCCGGCAATGATAAAAACCGGAGCAACAACGGTGAAAACTTCCTGCAGCACGACGGGGATAGAGGCCAAAGCCCGCTATTCTAGTCGTTTAGTCCTGCTTATGCAGGTAAAAAACCGTCATACA